GTGTAATACGCACAAAAAATACGTTAGGAACCTAAAATGGACAAACAGGAAACGTTATTACCCTCCTAAATCATTATCCCTTTAAAAAATTACAGACATATCTAAATACCTTACTCATTAAGATTACAGACATATCTAAATACCTTACTCATTAAGTCGTATTTTAATATTTAGTCATTTTGTTATTTTGGTCGGTTTGTTTTGAAACCAATAACACAATTGGAGGGGCTCTTCAAGGTTTACTGGGAAGAATTTTTTTTACAGTCAAATTATTTGAATCTTTTGTGGTCCGGGTATGGAAAGTACAAATGAGTTAGCTTCAAGCATGCATATTAACATCATTAACATGTACGTTTACACGCACAAACTGACACACATACAATTTATATAACATGTAGCAGGTAGTATTGACTATTGAGAACTAATTTAGGCATTTGGATGAAGATAATTAATGGTGGTGATTAGATATTTAGATTAAATGTTTAAATAATTAGTTATCTTAAACATGTTGAATAATGTACACAGTAATAGGAATGGAAGAAAACAAAGTAGTTTGCTGTTGTTTGTATTTGGAGTTTATATATGCGGGAATGAAAGAAAGACGAAGAAGTTTGCGGTTGTCTACAAAAAAAAATTCAAGATAGTGTTTTCAGATAAGGTAAACAGCCTTATAAACCTTGATGACAATGATTTCGTGAATCCACCTGAATGTAAGATGCACCCTTTAATATCGATTTTTCTTGTATGTTCTTGTAAACGACATTTATTGAATTCAACATGAAAGTATTACAAAGATTTTTCTTTTTGTACTATATTATTTCAAGGAACATTTAAAAAAAAAATCAAAATTGAATTATATCACGTGGAAATTTCATATGTTTATGTGGATCAAAATAGTTATCTAGAAGAGCTGAAAAGAATTTGTAGCATATGCAAGAGAATTGAAAACTATGATTTTGTTTTTTCACAATGGAGTGAGAATTTATGTCTAGACGATTAAGAAAAAATAGGATTAAATCATCACATGAGTTTAAAAGAAGATACATGTGTTTGCGTTGGGGTATATATGGAGTTATGGACAACATGAAAAAACTTATAAAAATCCTTAAGGTTTCTATCCAAGTGAAACGTCCAACTGTAAAAGGTAGGCTTAATTTTCAATTTCTTTTGTCTTATTTCATAAGATATCAATACTTATACAATTATACAATGCTAATAATATTTTTATTTATTGTATGAGACATGAAAAGAATGTAAATCTCATGATAGTTTGGAGGTTTTTGGTTCTATTTGAAAAAAAAAAAAAAAAAAAAAAAAAAAAAAAAAAAAACTCATGAAAATATTTGTTCCTTTTGACAATGTTTTTTTAGTTACAAATGTTATTATTTAGGTTCATGAATGGATTATAAGTTTTAAGACGTTCTTAATAGTTGGATTTCATCTTGAGGAACAACCTGCAATATGTTAGAAAACCTGTAACCATTCAGAAGTTTACAGGGCCGGCCCGTGGGCATGGGAATGCTGGGCGACCGCCCCGGGCCCCCAAATGCTATAGGGCCCTAATTTTTAATTTGTTATTTTGGTTATATATTAACAATCCATTACTTTTTAGCCTATTGGATTATTTCAAACTCCAATACTCTGATCAAGAATTAATCCAAAAGATGGAGCGTGGAAGAGAACGAGACTTACCTGACATACGTCCTAATTTCAAGGTGTCGTAACTCTTCAACAATCAGATTTCTATAGAAAATCCAAACATTTCCATGGAAAATCCAAACGACGTTCTCTCCAAAAGCAAGAGTTAACGATCATTCTTCTATTTCTTATTCAAGATTTCAAGTTAATTGTTTTCTTTCATTATTTTCTGATTTTCTGAATTCGTCCACAACAACCGTTAGTGAATCGAATGTTATTTTAAAATTGAGAGACTGATTGTGTCTCGTTCTTTTCACGATTTCAAAAAAACAAAAAACTCTATTGTTTCCCTTCTTGTTATCGATTTCCTTTTTCTGATATAACACCAATGGGAAGTTAATCATGTTATTTGATTTATTTTAGGAATCTGGCCTAGTGGTTTTAATCGAGAGTTCCAGTCACTGCCTCAAATTGGATTTCTTTCTCAATTTCTAGAAATTTGAAGGTTCAGTTTTCAAAATCGACTGTTAAAGGTGAAATTGATTTCTGATAATATTAAAGTTTTGAAAAAAAGAATGCAAAATAAATAACCAAAATAACTCTTTGATTAATTGGAAAATCACTCAAAACCAATGTTTTTACAATCTGTTCTCATAATCATAAACTCGATTATAGATAGGTATATATAGACTAACAAATCAATTTGTATTAGACTAGGAAACTTATGACCAACTTGCCATAAACTAAACTTTCCATAAATTAGATTACTTGGTCTCCAAGTCCTCATCGACTTAGGATTCCAACAATCACCCCCGAATCTCTAAGTCCTTCTTCAACCCGATCCGTATTTAAAAAACGGATTCGTCACTGTCGTCACGTTCCGAAAAATCACCGTCTTGTAATTTTTGGAGTCGTTCCGGACATTCAGAAGCAAAGTGACCCAGTTTGTCACACCGAAAACAAATCACCTTAGATCGATCCTTTTCCCTATTTTTCCGATTCTTCCCACAACAACAATTACAATTTTTGCAATCAGAATTAGAATTGGACAGTTTATTGGGCCGACTGCTTTGAGAAACCCTATTATTCCCTTTGGGCCCGCCTGATCCGCCCGACCTAGATAACCCACTATATCCGGATCCACTTGACCCATTAGTCCCATTAAACTCATTTGCTTTATTAGACCTAATCGATCCTTTCCAATTTCCCTTCGTTCCCGATGAGTTACCCCCACCAATCGACGACCCACCTCCATCTCCGGTCGATTTTTCGGCAAATAGAACCCTCGATTGTCCTTCTCCAGCATCGACTTCCCTTATTCTTTCTTCGTATGCCTTCAATCGACCCACTACGTCTTCAAACCCTACCGATTTTAAATCTAGTACCTGTTCAAGAGATGCAACGATGTGAATGAAGTTTCTGGGTAATGATTTGAGGAATTTCTTCACTAATTTTGATTCGTCAATCGTTTCTCCTAATGGCGACGATGTAGACGTGATTCCGGACAGCTTTCCGGCAAAGTTGTCGATTGTTTCTGACTCGAGCATCTTCAGGCGATCAAATTCCGACATCAAGGTTTGTAATCTCGCTTCTTTGACTCTATCTGCGCCCACATTACGTGCTCTAATCGCATCCCACAATTTCTTGGCCGAATCCTGATCTCCAATCTGCATTATGAGGTTTTCTGGTAAGGCTTGATATAGCAAACCCATGGCAAGGCAGTCCTTTTCTTCATTGACATCGGTTCCTGGATCAATCACAGTCCAGGCTTTGTGGATGCGTAAGACAACCTTCATACGCATTGCCCACACGGTGTAGTAAGTGGATGTGAGCATCGGACACAAAACTGGGTTGTCCCAACCTCCTTCACTCTCACCGGAGCTTCTCCTTCTCCCCCTGTATCTGTCATGTTGACCTGACTCGTCAACAGGTACAAATCGATCTCGCAGCTTCTCAACCTAAGCTCTTATACCAATTAAAGTTTTGAAAACAAGAATGCAAAACAAATAACCAAAATAACTCTTTGATTAATTGGAAAATCACTCAAAACCAATGTTTTTACAATCTGTTCTCATAATCATAAACTCGATTATAGATAGGTATATATAGCTAACAAACCAATTTGTATTAGACTAGGAAACTTATGACCAACTTGCCATAAACTAAACTTTCCATAAATTAGATTGCTTGGTCTCCAAGTCCTCATCGACTTAGGATTCCAACAAATATGACTGTGAATCTCTATATGTTCTATCGCTCTTGAAATTTCTTATTCTTTTTTTTATATTCGATTTTTATGAGACTGTTCAAGTTAGAGACATAATCAAATGTTAATATTTTTGAATTAGAGACAGTTTTTGAACTTTATTGCTTAATTTCGATTTGTAATGTTAATATTCTTATTTTTGATTTATGAATGGTACTCCTTTTTATTTCTATTTCTATGTTTTTGATATGTATAGAATTTTCTGTTGTTGAATAGTTTTTTCAACTACTTCCAGGGTATTAACAACAACAACTATTCTGGATTTAAGTAATTCACCTAACAACTTTTTGTCGATGATAAATCTACTTCAGTTGGAGGTCAACAACTTATGTACAGGAACAGAACTGAACAAGTTAATGAAGAAACAAAGGGGATGAGACTTTAGTATTTTTGTACTTCTAATAACATTGTATTTTTAGTTTTTCCCATTATATTGTGTATGAATTTAAATGTATTGTTATGTATGTATAAAGTAATGTAATATACGAATACATAAAATTTTCGAAAGAGCCCCATTTTTTTATTTTGCCCCGGGCCTCCAATTGTCTTGGCCCGTCCCTGGAAGTTTAATATCAAGCGCATATATAAATTTCAACACATTCACGTGGTATAATGCATATTTATGACATTTTTCAAAATATAAAAACAGAATAATAATGACATTTTTCTGTATATTTCACAGCATATATATATATATATATATATATATATATATATATATATATATATATATATTATATATATATATATATATATGGGAAAAGTGAATATACCCTTAAGGGTATATAAGTTTAGGTACCAAAACACACCATAATACGCCGTTTTGTTTAATATATTCATAATAATTTTCTTAAACATGAACCTCTAACTTGATTTACTGTCAAGATTTTTGAAATTCACTATTATCTTTCTCTTATATCACATCTTTTTGTCGAACACATATTAGGCTACATATATTGTAGTTGAAAATGAAAATTATGTAAGATGAAGATAAATGTGTAATTTATAAAAAATTATGGAAATAAATCAAGTTAGAAGTTATATTATAAGACCATTAGACAATTAGAATGTATTATATAATACAAAACGACGTAGTATGGTGAGTTTGGGTACCTAAGCTTATATACCGTTAAGGGTATATTCACTTTTCCATATATATATATATATATATATATATATATATATATATATATATATATATATATTTGTGTGAAATATTGTACAATATACATATTTGTGTGAAATATTGTACAAGAGAACGTACAATGGGCTTAACCGGGCTTTAGGTCAGTAATGAAGCCCATTCAGATAACTACAAGTCTACAACAGTACAGTTAATGGGCTTTGGGTGAGCACTGAAGCCCATTTGGATAACTGATATTGGTGATTCAGAAGTCCACAACACCTAGCTACCTTCATCGTCTTCGTATTCACAGCAGCGAATCTCCAAATCCGACCACCAGCACAAGTAACTACATCGAAATCTCTTCATCTTTCTTCATTAATTTGTGTTTAGAGGTTTTCCTACGTATCTTAATTTCCTGCTTTTTAATTTGTTTTTACCTGGCCGTGTTTCCTTTGCCTCATGCTCATTAATCTCGTTGATGTTTGTTGATCATGAAATCAATTTCATGTTTCATTTGACCGCTAATTCGATCAATTGCGAACTGAATTCAGAAATCACATTGAATGTTACCATTGTTAAAGAGTCTTCATTTGATCCCGACGAAGGAATTTCTAGGGTTCGAATGATTGTATATATCCATTAGACATTTGTAAAAGCTTCTCATTTGATATAATATACATATATGGCAGCTATGAAGAATCCGAGACTATGGTGTAACACAATCATGGAGCAAGGGTTAATTGGGATCACTCGACACTACAGATCAAATCCAAAAATAGATTTTAAGAAACTGAGGCCAATGATTCTGAAGAGGATCGAGAATCGAGCCAAATATTATCCAGTAAAAGACATGATCCCTGTTGCTTATGATGTCGTAAGATCAAGAAGCCTTTTGATTCAAGGCGTATCCACTCTTCTCCAAGTAATACCCATCTGGTCTTGCAAGTATTCTCTATCTCTCATTCACTGTCTTCTTCTTCTTCATCTTCTTGTTCTATACCTTTTGTTTCTTCAAAATAAACATGCAATTGGTTTGATGATTGATTAAACACACACATACACTATCGTCCACTTACAGATTCTGTCAAGAAGTGTACATTGGTGAAAAGGGTCACGCAATCAAAACCTGCCATGGGTATAAACGTCATTCCAAGAACAAATCCCACGAATGGATCAAAGGAGGTATAAATGACATTCTTGTCCCTGTAAACACATTCCACCTAAAAACCATGTTCCAAAACGTGATCAAACACGATGAACGATTCGATTACAACCGAATACCCGCAATTCTTGAACTCGCGCTCCAAGCAGGTGCCGATTTTGATTTTGACCACGAGGGTATATCCGGAAACAAAATCGAATGTTTAAATGCTGAATCTTTATCACCCAATGATCTGAGGGTAATTTCGGAAGGAACTTTAAAGGCATGGGAGGTGGTTAGATCGGGTGTTCAAAAGTTAATGATGGTTTATTCGGCTAAAGTTTGTAAATATTGTTCGGAGGTTCACGTGGGCCCATCTGGACATAAGGCGCGATTGTGTGGGGTGTTTAAGTATGAGAAGTGGCGTGGAGGGCATTTTTGGAAAAAAGCCGAGGTTGATGATTTGGTGCCTGAAAAGGTGGTGTGGTTTCGTAGGCCTCAAGATCCGGTTGTTCTTGAGGATAAGTGGCGGTCATTTTACGGACACGCCCCCGCGGTGGTTGATTTGTGTACGAAAGGTGGTGCGGTGGCACCGATTAAGTATTATTGTATGATGAAACTTCAAGGGTTATCTGCTGATGTGGCATTTAAGACCGACCATTAAAGACATTACATAACATGTTGTACTGTGTTTGATTTATATCAGACTGACTGAGACTTAGATTTAGACTGTGAAAGAAAATGAAAGTTTTTGTCTTGTTTGTGCAAAAGACATTAATACCTTCATTCTCATAACTGACATTAACCCATATATAGCTTATTGAAGGAAGTCGTATAAAAAGGGGAAATGCCTAAATAGTAATCAAGTTTGATAATCGTTTAACTTGTGGTTTTTATACTTTTTGTTCTAATTACTCAAGTTTCAATTTTGTTCTATGTATGTGAAATTAGATATTTGTAACCTTTTTACTAAGGAAAAATCCACCAAAACAATCTTAGCGATCTAGAGGAATACATCAAACCAAAACAATCTTAACAACCAATTTTGTAGCCCATTGTATTCCATTACAATATATCCATTTTCAAATGTTCGGGAGTTCCTTTGACTTCCTAATTTTTGGCCACAAATGGTTTGACATTATGTTGTACTTTTTGCAATATGGCAACCGTTCCATTGCCAACTTGGCATCCACTAAACAACTTGGCTATCGTTCGATGGGTCGCTAGTAGTTTCAAAATTTAGAATTTGAATTTTGAAACTCGATTGAATTTTGAAAAGGAGAAATTGAATGAGAAAAAGAAAGCTCGAGATGAGAAGCAAAGAGCATGAGTGGAAAACAAAAAAACTTGCGATATGGAATTTTTAACGTACAACATTGATCATCTCTTCAAAAACTAACTCGATATGGTAAGATACTCCTTTATTATCATGCTTTTCGTTTTCTGAGTTAAAAATGCAATGTGACATTAGCGAGAGCGTTAAACATTATAAAAGAAATACATTAAGCACTACAAAGTTTTCTAATTTTAATATTTACGACACTTTGCGAACTAATACTAAAAAGTATATCAAATTTTAATCTACTTATACACATTTTTAAATCTTAATGGCTTTTAGCTATTAGTTAAATGTTTATGTTAGAGAAGAACATAATCATGGTAGTGGTTTTTTCTTTTATTTTTTATTTAATTGATCCTTGTAGTCTGTTTCTTTTAAGAAAATGCCTAAGAAAGGAAAATATAACATAAGCACGTTATTATTTCAAATATGTTCAAGATTAGGTATGAAACACATGATAAAGCCTCTTTGAGAATGAAAATGAAGGCACCGCTACATTTACATCAAGTTAAAATTTTAATTAAGGTATAAAACATAGTAAAGAAATATTAATAAAATATATTAAGATTTTAAATTATCAATAATTATATTAAAATTAGTCATATTAATAAAATATAAAACGACATATTATAAGTTGCAACACAATTATATTAAAATTAGTTATTATGATTTTAGATTATCAATAATTTTATTTTTATCAATAATTTTATTATGATTTTAAATTATCAATAATTTTATTTTTCTTAACCGTGGTTTCCACATGTGTTAACCTAGTAATATATATATATATATATATATATATATATATATATATATATATATATATATATATATATATATATATATATATATATATATAGAGCACATACCACTCCTATTTCAAACTTCAGAGTTCCACGCAATGATTTATTTTGATTTTTCTTGGAGTTTGAATAGAAAATGTGGGGTATTGTTGGAACTTTGTTAAATGGAAAACACTCTCTTTGGGACTTGTCCCACATTAGAAGAAAGAGGAAACTTATACTCCCTTAAAAAGCCTCCTACTAGTTGTTTACTAATTAGATCAAAAACACTCCTCTGAAGCTCCTTACTGGAAAGAGGCAATCAAAAGTGAGATTGACTCCATTGTGCAAAATAACACTTGGAAATTGGTAGATTTGCCACCTGGGCAAAAACCAATTGGGCACAAATGGATATTCAAGAAGAAGTTTAGACATGATGGTACCATTGAGAAGTACAAAGCTCATTTAGTAGCTAAAGGGTATCGTCAAAAGAGGGTCAAGACTTCTTTGACATCTATTCACCTGTTACAAGAATTGCGTCAATTCGCACATTAGTAGCAATTGCAGCCATTCATAATTTGGAAATACACCAAATGGATGTGAAAATTGCCTTCTTGTATGGTGAACTAGATGAAGATATATATATATATATATATATATATATATATATATATATATATATATATATGTGTGTGTGTGTGTGTGAATCAACCTGAAGGGTTTGTGGTTAAAGGTCAAGAAAACAAAGTCTGTAAGTTAGTTAGATCACTTTATGGACTAAAACAGGCTCCAAAGCAATGGCATGAGAAGTTTGACAACACATTACTCTCTAATGGATTTAGAATAAATGAATGTGATAAATGTGTTTATGTCAAACAATACAAGAATGTTTATGTCATCATATGCTTGTATGTGGATGATATGCTTATAATGGGTACTAATTTGGATGTGATCAATCAAACCAAGAAAATGCTACAATCCTCCTTTTCCATGAAAGACGTGGGAGTAGTATATGTGATCCTTGGTGTAAGAGTTCAAAGAAGACCAGATGGTTATACTCTTACTCAGTCCCATTATATTGAAAGTGTACTCAAGAAGTTTGGACACTATGATGACAAGCCGGTTGTCACCCCATTTGATGCTTCTAGTCATCTAAAGAAGAATAAAGGTAATAATGTAGCTCAGATAGAATATACTTAAGTTCTCGGTAGCTTAATGTATATTATGAATTGTACTAGACCGGACTTGGCTTATAGTGTAAGTAGATTGAGTCGTTACTCCCACAATCCTGGGAAAGATCATTGGTATGCATTAGTGAGAGTGCTTAGATATTTAAAGCATACAATGAACTATGGACTGCATTACACGAAATATCCTCCTGTTCTTGAAGGGTATTGTGATTAAAATTGGATTTCCAATACTTCTGAGGCAAAATCCACAAGTGGATATGTGTTCACTCTTGGTGGAGCTGCTATCTCTTGGAAATCATCTAAGCAAACTGTGAATACTCATTCTACAATGGAAGCAAAGTTTGTTGCTTTAGACAAAGCTGCTGAAGAAGCTAAATGGTTTACATACATTTTGATTATTATCACAAATAATCAAAGCAATTCTTTTCTTCAAATGGTTGGGAAAGCAAGCACCAGAAATCCAATGCCTCTAATGGTTTATACCCAAACCCTAGAAATTAAAACACTTAAGGAGAGAGGAGAAGGAGTTAGAGTTTCGGCTATTCTTTTGTTAGAAGTGATGAATGAAAATGAGGAACCAATGGGCTCTATTTATAGCTGATACAAAGACCCTTGGAAACCCTAATTTGAATATAATACTATTATTTCAAATTTGGTAATGCAACTCTTTAATTATCTTTAAGGATTAAACTAAAACGATTAAAAAACTCCCCAAAACCGTCCATGACCCATGGAAGGTTTTGAAAACTCTCTTGTTCAACTATTCAACAATTACAACTTAAGTATCTACACTTTTAAATAATCCAAATAATCCCAAAATTAATTCCGATTAATTATTAATTAAATAATACTATTTCTAACTAATATATTAAACTCATAATATATTAACAAATCATTTATTGTTATTTACTAATCATGTAATAAATCAATAAATCAACATCTTTCTCCAAAGGTCATTCTAGTCAATTACTAGTTCTAAGGGCAACCCAAAAAGGACTTTGCTTTAATTTGCAGCTTTATACTAATTTAGTTATGATCTTAGACACCTTAATCCAGCATGTGTGTGTGTGTGTATATATATATATATATATATATATATATATATATATATATATATATATATATATTAGAAATAACATACATACATAAGAATAAGATAGATCATATATGGTTTTGTGTGATTAATACAAGTTTCTTTGTTTCATGCACAAAGAACTCCCATCCCTTTAATGTTATCTCTAACACCTAGAACATGTGCAATGAGGTTAGTTTCTTTATTTGTTTAATAGTAAGTTCATTAATTGATTTATTAAAGTTAAGAATAAAATTTATTAATAATGAGAATCACTTGTTTTTTTAGTATGATACTAAATAACATAATAGAGAGGAACCTCTCACATGAATTTGTAGAAAGCAAGTAGGAGCATGAGAGGTTGAAAAACATGAGGCCTGATACAAAAAATAAGTGTGTTTTTTAATTGATATGTCATATTTATTACATTTGGCTAATGCTCTAAGCCCTTTCTTTGTATTCACACCTGATGGACAACCACCCATGACACCAAGTTCAACATTTTTACCCGGTGCACCTGGTAGCAAACTAATGACACCAAGGATTTTTTTAACATTATATGTGAAACATGAAGGCATCCTTAATAGAAATTTACTATCATATTATATAGTTAGGGAAAGCCTCTTAATAGCAATATACTATCATAGAAATGTATTGTATTTATTTAGCATTAGAATGATTATCTGTATTTGGCATACTATACATTGTGAAATGTTTTTGTTGTGTATTATATGTTATTTTGTATTATGTAACATTAGTTTTCATTTAATTTGAAAACTAGTGTAACGACCGAAAAATCCAACCAATTTAAATTTTTCAAAAACAACCCAATTTCATTAAATTATTACAAAAAGGTTTTCAATACAAATCATTTAGAGTATTCCCATAATCACATTGCTACAAAATCATGAGGAGCGGTACGATCACGCCTTCGCCTTGCCATAGTCTCCTGAAGAACCTAGAAAAAATTAAACCACAACTGTAAGCCCGAAAGCTTAGTGAGATACCCCCAAAATACCAACCACATATACCATACACATAACATGCTATCTCATAACGAATCATAGAACAGCCATGCATATCGGGTCTACTGTGGGACTGGTCCGCCTTGTAGGGCCTTCAGTCCACCTGGTCCACCCTCTGTGTCCAATCATGTCCCTCGAGTCTGCAGTGTGGTTGGTCCGCCCGCACTGGGCCTTCAACTCACTTGGTCCACTCTCTAAGTCTACAGTATGACTGGTCCGCCTGCATCGGGCCTTCAGTCGGCCTGGTCCACTCTCCGAGCCTCGGCACGTCTGGTCCGCCCTCGTGGGGCCTACATCCTATCCGGACCGGTCGCTGAGCCTTCGGAATAACTGGTCTGCCCTGGGTATCTTGGCCTACAACACGAAGCAGGACCCGCCTCAACCCAACTCCAGTCCAAACATCCATGTGCACATAAACAACAATCACATAACAATTCATATTCAGGCAACCGATCAGCAGATCACATATCACAACATACTCTAACAGGATACCGACCTAACCGGTCACTAGCATAGCCTCACCCTAATACCAGGATACCGACCTTAACCAGTCCCTAACGAATACCATCCTAACTAC